GTGTGTGTGTGTGTGTGTGTGTGTGTGTGTGTGTGTGTGTGTGTGTGTTTATTTTACAGTTTAAAATTCATTAACTAGAATTACAATTAAAATATCAATAATATGCCTTTAAAAATCCCATGACCGGAGAATTAAGGTATAGTTGTCAAAAAATAAATATTTCATGACATATTTTGTACATTTTGCTAAAATGTGTAGAATAAAGTTTTTTGTAAAAACTATTAATTTTTCAATAACTCTACTTTGATACTTGTATAGAACAACTAAAAATATATTTATACAAAAATATCACATAATTACATTTTTTTTTAAATGGTTATAATCTTCGTAGCAATAATCTTTGTGCGATCTTAAAAAATCAAGTTTTTCAAAATTTTTTTTGTTTTTATATACGACGACGTCAAATTTAAGAGATATAGTGCTATTTAAAATGGAACATCCTGTACATATAATTGTCATTTTATTATTAATTATTTATAATTTTTTAACATAAAAAACATCATTTGTCAAACAATTTTTTACTAGAGAATTATCCGGCAATAACGATATAAAAACAACGAATTAGCAATTCTTCTTCACTTAATCCCCACTTTCTCCTCGAGAACTAGTGTATTATATAATGTACTGATGTATTCAGTTCCTTCAGTTCCTCAAGTATATGTAGTTGCATAATCTCGACATACGTAGTCGTACGTAGTCGTACGTGGTTACAACGTAAACCAGTAGATTCGGTAACATTACTCTGTTGCTATCATGGATAATAATCGAGTAGACGTACATGTATATGAGGGAAAATTAATCGGTATCGTTGAGGAAGCTGTCCATGGTGATCATTACGTCGCGTTCCGAGGAATACCATATGCGAAACCACCGATTGGTGAACTAAGATTCAAGGTGAATAACATTCCGTTACTATAGCCACGTTCAACATAACCGTTCAATTTTAATCTTGAGTCTTAAGCCTCGTCTACAATAGTCGCACAGGTTGTGTCGCATGTCGCGAGTAGTAGCATCGCAGGAAAATTTGTCGCATGCCGCAAGAGTGTCGCTAATGCCTGTTCTACAATAGGGTCGCAAGCCATAGGGTCATAAGCCGTAAGAAATTAACCAAGCATAGTTAATTACATTTATCATATTCAATTGTGATTGGCCAATTTTTTACGCGTTACTTACGACTCTGTTAGAACAGATTTAAATGAGCGTCTACAATAATCACAACGATTGTTTGCACGCAATTCGACAACAAATTCTAAACGTCAACTTGCTGATGACTGAGCTCATGTGACATGCCTGTCGCAGTCACAAGAAGTTGAAGTTGGCTCAACTTCGTACGACAAGAACTCTTGCGACTATGACAATCATGCGACTATATGTGACATTAAAGAGGCTTTAACTGAAAATTCACTTCTACTTATCTGTCTTATTTTTAATTTGCACGAAAAGATACAATATGTCAAAATTGAGAAAATTATAATTGAATGTTAATGATGTAAAAAAAATAGTTATTTCTTTCACTATTGCATCTCAGATCATTATTTGGCATTTAGTTAAATTAGCAGATTATATGAGTTATTTTTAGCGCTTTGAATTTTCGTAAACACAACATTCAGAGAATAATTTATGGACAAATATAAATATAAATATAAAATTAAATATAAAATTTAAGTGTACTGCAAAAAGTCAAAAATTAATATTAATATAATCAGCATTGATTTTTTCATAATTATTATTAGACAATTCACTTATGATATAAGTAATATGGAAATTAAAAAATATTTTAAAGAATAAAAAAAAATATACCTGTATCTGCTTAAAAATAAAAAGAAATCTTCAAATTTTTCTCACGCTTTATTGTCTTTATTATTAAATGAAATCATTTAGTAATAAAGATTTCTTATGGTTGCAAACAATTTTTATTGACATATTAATAATTAGTAATTTACAAAAATTAAGAAAAATTAAAATTTTGTTTAAAAAAATGACTAATACGAATCGACTCTTCACATATTAATATTCAATTATGGCGATACATTTTTAATATGATTTGAATAGGTACAATGATTTATTCCTGATATAAATTAAACTTTCTGTTATAACATTCATATAATTAAAACATATAAAAACGTAAACAGTAGAACTGAAGCAGTAAATAAATCAATTTATTAACCAGGATTTTGTTTAGGGAGAGGAGCCAAATTAGAGTTAAAACTTAAATCTGAAGAAAAGGGGGAGAAGTCGAGTATGAATTGAACTTGTTATGTTCTATATTATTTATTTTTTATTTTTTTTAAATTTAAATTTATAAAAGTAGTCTTGAATTCTCAGAAAACTTTTCTATACCTTTTTCCTCCAATTCTTTCTTCTTTTCTAAAATTAATTTCTTGTAAATACTTAAGCATAGTCCGTAAATGTGTAATTATTTTGAATTATTTTTGTTTTCATTTAAGATTTAGGAACGATATAGCTTCCTCCACTACATGGATCGATCAATCACAATCGAGCATTCTTTTCAGGTTGACCTATTTTTGAGAATGCTCAATTGTAACTACTCATTTACTGCATAAGTTCTATTATTTAGATTTTTCAATGTGACTAAGATCTAAGGACGCATACAATAGAGAGAAAAAATTATGTAAGTGTCGCTTGAAATTTTTCGAGTAAATAATTCAAATGATATACGAATTCAAGGAACGCGAAGACTTTATTACCGATTTTATTGTATTGTCGATAAGTTGTTATTGGCAAATGAAAAATTCTTTCCATTAATCATCAACTTCTGTTTGAGTTTACGACGTATAGCATACACTACGAAATAATATAAATAAAAAGAATAATATGTTCCTAATAAAAAAATCTCTCAAAATATCTGAAGAATCGATATGCGTATCAATCATTTATATAAAAAAATATGTTAATTCTCTCAATCCATACATTTGCGTGCAGATCAATTGTAAGGCAAATTACACAATGTAAGACAGGTTGTTCTACATTACATGTGCATTCTTGTTATAAAAAAGATATATCAGCTTGATTCTTATAAATAAAAGCTATACATTTATCTATACAGGATCCGCTGCCATCAGAAAGATGGGTCGGCGACAGAGATGCCTCAAAATATGGAAATATCGCTGTTCAAGTTGATTTACTAACACGTGAAATAATAGGTGATGAAGATTGTCTCTACCTAAATATATATACTGTAGATATCGTGAAAAAACGTCCAATTATGGTGTGGATACATGGTGGCGCTTTTATTTGGGGTTCTGGTAATGCAGCCTGGTATGGTCCCGATTACATTGTTCAAAAAGATGTAGTACTCGTTACGCTAAATTACAGACTAGGAGCTCTAGGTACGTTGTATATTAGTTAGATATGAAATTATGCAAGACGCATCTCTCAGTATGCTGTTTTTTTAATATTTTACGTATTATAATATATATGTATTATTGTAATGTATATGTACGATATAACAATATGTAATTATTATACTATACGTATAAATGCTACTTCGTATTGTGTCGAAATTACCTTTAAAAACATTTAAAAAAATATTATCATTAATGAATTTTACTTATATGAGATAATATAATACATAGATCATCTATATATAATATATCTACTTCTGATCTTAGTCATTCGAGTTTGCAAATGAAAGATGCATTAATGACTTCAGGTTTTCTAAACCTCTACGACAAAGTAGTAACGGGTAATCAAGGTCTGAAAGATGTGGTTATGGCGTTAAAATGGATCCAAAAAAATATATCACCATTTGGTGGAGACCCGAATAACGTCACTATTTTTGGCGAAAGTGCTGGTGGAGCTATCGTGCATTATCTAAATCTATCTCCGTTAAGCAAAGGTATAATAATCTACAGACCTATTAATAATGATATAATATTCTCAAATTTTATCTAATATTTATTATTTCCTATTAAATATTCAAAAAGTTGATCATTTTAAACTAGATTTTTCTTCGACAAAAATCCAAGTTATACTAATAATTGTAAGATTAAAGATGAACGCTGTCCAAATCTCTTTCTCTTTCTTCCTTCTTTGTTCTTCAATAACAAAAGTAGATAATAAATTCATTAAAAAAATCTGTCTTAAACAAAATATATATTAGAAGAATTTCTGTGTGAAACATTTGAAATTTTAATTTAAATATTAATGATAAAAACTTAAGCATGTTAAAATTTGAAAAAGTTATAGGGGGAATAATAACTAATAATTTCTTCTGAAACATTTTTTTCAAAAATAAAATTGACTCTAAAGTGACTAAAAAAAAACAATAATTGAAAGAATGCTTAGATCTATAGAATAACTTGTATATTATTAAACTGAAGAAAACAAGAAAGGTATAATGATAATTAATTAATATAACTAAATTCAATTATAATTTCCAGGTTTATTTCACAAAGCAATCTCGCAAAGCGGTGTCGCCTCGAATCCTTGGAGTTTGACTGAATGGACAAACAAAGCGATGAGCAGAGGTTTTCAACTTGCGGAGAAACTTGGAAAGGTCACATCAGATCCAAAAGTCGCTTATGAGTTTCTTAAGACAATCGATGCAAAAAAACTCATAAAAGTTGGACAGAAGTTTCTTGCCACACCATTAGTAAGTATCTCAATATTTGTTAATAATTTTGCAATGATTTTGTGATTGACAACAAATTGCAAACAAATTATGATATTTTCATTGATTTACGTTTTTGTAGGACCGTCTACAACATGTTTTAATATTTACACCTACTTTGGATTATGAATCACCGAATCCATTCTTTCCGGAACATCCAAATACGTTAATACAACGCGGAGTTAAAGTGCCATGGCTTTTAGGAAATAACAGTTGTGAAGGATCTTTTTTCATATGCAGTACACTTTTCGGACGTAAGTGCATATGCTTATGCGTTTATTCATTAAATATCTGTAACCATTATAGTGTATGAATTCTTATATGATGTGACCTATAAAAAACAATATAAACTTAATATTGTGTGTGTATGTGTGTGCGCACGTGCACGCGCGTATACACATACATATACATCAATATGTTGCATGTATATCAATATTAAGCAAACATTTTCTGAATAGACATATTTATGTCAATTTCTGTTATCAATGTAATGTTATAAACATGCTGTGTTTTTTTTAACAGGCTATTGTGAAAAATAATACGCTATAATATCTATATGCTAATAGATATTCGAAATAAATTATTTTTTAACAAATATGTCCCTTAAATATTATCCATATACCATCTGGCATTTGTAGTCGTTAATAACAATAAAGTTTTTAAAATTGTTTTAGAAATAAGCAAAAAAGCTCTTAAAGAAATTGATTCTGATTTCACGAAAACCATAATTCCTAGAGCTTTATCTACAATGTCAAAAATACCGATCACAGTTGAAGAGTTACGATTTTTATATTTTGGAAATAAAGCAGTATCAGAAGAAACTTTAATGAATTACGCTGATTTTCTTAGCGATGTCATGTTTAATCGTGGTATCATGGAAGCAGTTGATATTCAAATGAGTTCTGACAGTTACACGCCAACATATCTGTATAAATTTTCATATGAAAGTAAAACTTACGTCGGAAAGGAAATATTAAAGGTTACGCTGCCAGGTAACGTCACTATTTTACTTAAAACCATATAAAAATCTTTAATCCTTTATTAAGGAATACGAGTGCACTTATATTGTTAAATGTTACATTGTTAAAAAACACATCTAAATTTTTATAAATCATTATAAGAGATCGAATATGTATCAATATGCATTTAAAAATATTTTATTTTAAAAAATTAA